AAAAAAAAAAAAAAAAAAAAAGCAGATTCTGAGTAAGTAAATATTAAAGGAACATTTCACTAATATTTGTGAGAGTAGAGGGATTTATGGAGCAAAAGGACAGCGATGAACGCCACAGTAAGAGGTGTAAATATACTTACACTAAAGAATTCTGTCGTGAAATTTCAACAAAAAGAGGACGCACCAAAATCCCAGAGGAAAAAAACTAAAAATAGGTGACGTGTAGCAGCTCGAAGACCAGAGTGACTTTGGCCTCCTCCACAGCAGCTCTGCCAGCCGAGAAACGGAGGATGAATTCCTTCACTATCCTAAAAACAAAGCAAAACTAACAAAAATACTTCTAAGATAGATCCTACACCTGACTATTCCTTGTGAATGCTAAAAGTCTCCAAAAAATTGATTGTCCAAGCATTTGTCTTCAGCCAGTGCTTAGAGAATCTACTCTATCCAAAGAAGGCATCAGCTCGGAAGGAGGCAGCCTTGGAAATGCGAAAACGTGATCCAACACAGGAGAAAGATGAGGACCCACTCCATGTGACGCTCAAAGGAGACCCCAGGATGAAGGCTGTGGACCACCAACGGTGGCACCAGCCTAGACTAAATGGGTGCAGAAGCTCCAACAGAGGATCTCTTACAAGATGCCCTGGATTACCTGAACACCCTGAGAGGAGGCAGACACCCTCAGAGAGGATTTGAGATGAGTGTATAAGGAGAACTTGGGGAATTAAGCATCGCAGGACCACAGTCACAGAACAATCCTTAACCACAGGGGAAAATGAGAGAGTGAAGAAACGGAGGGACCGGCCATAGACAAAGTTGAAGGGAGATGCTCAGACAAAGGGCGCAGAGAGAGGCGACAGGACCTGGAGGATATGGGTCAAGAGAGATCTTGGGGCTTGTTGACTTCAGTTCAGTTTTGTTTGAAACATACCAAGTTATGGTTCCCATGTGAGAAGGATCCTGGGTGGCTGAGGTTGACGTTTCAGGAGGGACAAGCCACTGGGGCGATGGCCTCCTGGCGAGTACAAGACGAGACGAGACCCAGGGGAGGGAGGACCGACTTGGGTGCCACAGCAGGGAAGCAGGTGAACAGGGCGGACGACGCAACTCTGTTCGGGGTTTAGTGGAAGGAAGGTGAAGTGGAGCACTCCTTTGCTGAGCAGTAAGGTCAGGCCATCGGATCGTTTCTTCCTGTGACACTTAATTGTTCCAGTGTCCTGAGAGGTGAGAGCAGAGGAAACTGGGGCTCTCAGAAGGTACAAAACTTTCCTAAAGTCACAGAACCAGTGTGGGGAAGAGCAGGAGATGAAGAGGATCCTGATGGCCTTGCTCTTAAGGACCCTAAGCAACGTCTCCCCCGTAAGGAGCTTTCCCCCAAGTATCTCTGGGCCCCGTGGGGAGAGGGACCCGTGAGCCTGCTTCGGTGAGAGTGCAGGCAACAGCCACACATGATGTGACCCAGTCTCACTGGTCTGGGTGCCTCCCAAGCCAGGACAGGCCTGAAAGGAAGCCAGTTCTACTTTTAGTAGAAGGCGATGTCTACCAGATGTCCAGATTCCTGAGGTCCCTTGAAAATCCTGTTTCTTGTCCATATAATTCATCTGTCAGAATTCTCTGGTCAAAAATGAACAACAGAAGAGACATCACAACGTAGCTGGTGGACCTGCACAGCAGGCCCCGCCGGGCAGTTACCTTGTTGGCAGTAACAGCGTACATTTCAGGGTGTCTGACTGATTCTACGGATGAGGCACATCGAGGGAAAAAAAGTGTAAATGCTTCAACTTGGGCACTTGTAAAGCTGTTTCCAGAGAGGAGTCAGGTTCAGGGCTCCCTGAGACATTTCTAAATAAGGAATCCTCAGAACTGACTTTCTGCTGAACTGGGGCGAGGTGAATCCGAGACAGGCTGGGAGGATCCCGAGAGACAGTCACAGCATGTGACATTCAGGTCTCTGGGGTGTGAGCAGAGTATGTCCCTAGCTAATACTTAGATTTGGAAAGAGAGGCCTGTTCTACTTTTTTGCCAATAATGACAATAATGAGGGAGACAAATAAACATGAAAGTCTTCTAGAATCATCTAGAACCAGCTCCATGCACACAGCAGCAGAGGGAGAATGGAGAGCTCCCACTCTGGTTTTGCTTTGGCCGTGTTTCTCGGGGGATGGAGACACATTTTCACCACTGACCTCAGGGGCTTTGGGAATTTAAGAAACACACTGTCTTACATTGTTTTGCAAACATCAACTCATCTCTAGTAGGAACCTTCACTGCGACCTCACTCCACGGTCACACCTCTTTGACATACTCTGACTTGCAAACACCCACCTAACTCGAGATTGGTCAGATCATGGTCACACCCTACCCGCCTTCTGGTTTCGGGAGGGAAAAAAAAAAGTTTCATTAAAACGCTGGTCTTTATTTTAGCAACAAGGCCCAGCCCCAGTCTTCTTAGCAAATTAGCAACACTTGAAACTCTAAGATCTGGTTTCTGGGCAAGGCCCAAGCGTTTCCTTGCCAAGAACATTTGGTGAACTGCCCTCCCTTGGGTCATGTGTCACTTTGCTGAGTTCTCGCTTCCCTGCAGGCAGATTCCTGCCATTTTTTCTCAGCACGCCCAGAAAACTTGCCATTGCTCCGGTAAACAGCCGGAGAGGTTGTGCATTCAGAAGCAGGCAGAGGATGCCCTGCCGGCCCCGCCACCTCGCCCTCCTCCACGCGGGGGCGGGTGGGGTAGATCAGGCTGTGCGGGACAGTCACACGCTTGGTGCTGAAAAACAATCTGCTTACGAACTCGCTCAGTGCTCACCACCTGGGTGAGAAGTGAGAGTTTCTTTAGTCCAGCTGTGCTGGTGGCCGGGGCAAATTACAGAGGACACCACTGGACTGCTCCCAGCTTCCGCTGGCCTTCCCTCTACAGGGAATCAAACACATACACGCCTGCACATGCGTGGAAAGTTCTATGATCAAAACCCACCTTCAGGTGAGCACTGGCAT